GTCACCCTAGCCTAAGACTATCAGATCACCCTAGCCTAAGACTGACAGATCACCCTGGCTTATGACTGTCAGATCACCCTAGCCCGAGACTGTCAAATCACCCTTACCTAAGACTGTCAGATCACCCTAGCCTAGGACTGTCAGATCACCCTAGTCTAAGACTGTCAGGTCACCCTAGCCTAAGACTGTCAGATTACCCTAGCCTAAGACTGTCAGGTCACCCTAGCCTAAGACTGTCAGATTACCCTAGCCTAAGACTGTAACATCACCCTGGCCTAAGACTGTCAGGTCACCCTAGCCTAAGACTATCAGGTCACCCTAGCCTAAGACTGTCAGATCACCGTAGTCTAAGACTGTCAGATCACCCTAGCCTAAGACTGTCAGATCACCTTAGCCTAAGACTGTCAGATCACCCTAGCCTAAGACTGTCAGATCACCCTAGCCTAAGACTGTCAGGTCACCCTAGCCTGAGACTGTCAGATCACCCTAGCCTAGACTGTCAGGTCACCCTAGCCTAAGACTGTCAGATCACCGTAGTCTAAGACTGTCAGATCACCCTAGCCTAAGACTGTCAGATCACCCTAGCCTAAGACTGTCAGATCACCCTAGCCTAAGACTGTAAGATCATTCTAATCTAAGACTGTAAGATCATCCTAGCCCAAGATTTACAGATTACCCTAGTCTAAGACCATGTCAGTTATGCTATTTGTGCAAATAATCCTTACTTACTGTATTCAAAGATGTGTAATGCTTTAAAATTAATTTTTACTTTACCTATTTACGTATTTAACAAAAATCAATTTCATGATTGTGTATTATTATTAAAGAAATTGAATCTTTTTATCAGGTTGTAAAGCTAACCAGAAAAACAATGATGGTCAACTACCAAGCCAGGTTGCTAAGGATAATGACAGCAAAGATGCCATGAAGGAATGTAAGAAAGTGGAGAGAATGTGGAAGAAGATTATGGGTGGCGGCAAACCACCTGTGGATACGTGGGCTATAACAATGTATGACTGGACCATAGAGCATGCAGATAAACTTAAACAAAGATTTGAAACTACTGACATAGATAACAATTCTGAACCAACAGGAAAGGTCAGCAAAGATGAGTTCTGTGAGATCCTACAATCTCAGAATGCACCCCTGACAGATGAACAATTGAAACAATTGTGTCAAGCACATGATAAGAACCGTGAAAATGAAATTGATTATGAAGAGTTCTTTAGCGGCAAAAAGTATTTAGCCAAAGCTTATCTCATGACAGCATTTGAGAAAAAGGAAAAGAAGAAAAAGGGAGGAAAGAAAGGAAAGAAAAAGAAAGGAAAAACGAAGGTTCCCATGCCAATTTGTACAGCTCCAGACGGACCTAGGACTGACGGTGGAGGACCACCTGAACATCTGATTGGTAGACATGTTCCTTTTTCAGACACTGGTCGTTTTGATCGTGATCATCCACCAGAACACCCAATACAAGATGATTCTATTTGGTATCTTGCACCCCCAGAGAAGGCCTATATGAATATTAATAATGCTGCTAAGATGGGAGATGTGGAGTCATTGAAAAGGGCATTCTGGGAAGGTAGAAATGTTGATACACGCGATAAGTACTTTAAAACACCACTCATGGTTGCTTGTCACTATGGAAACTTTGAAATGGTGCAGTTCTTAGTGGAAAATGGGTAGGTCATGATTAATTATTTGTTGTATTACTCAATTGCTATGGAAATAATTGTAGATGTGATTTTATGGCCAAAAACAGTAATAATTTAATGATTTAGTTGCAAAAAATGCAATTTTTCATTTATATGAACTTTTATCGGAGATGTGATTCTATTAATATATTTTATGTTATTCTTATGATATTCTTATTGTATAATTTATTTGATACAGGGCTGATGTTAATGCAAAGGATAATTTCAAGTGGACGGCTTTACACCATGCATGTCATGCTGGTCAGATGGATATCGTAGAAATGTTGGTCGAAAGAGGAGCTGAAATAGAAGTAAAAGCTATGAATGGTGGTACTCCATTGATGAGAGCAGTACAGAGTTCAAGACCAGATGTAGTACAGTATCTTATTGATAAAGGTGCCAAAGTTCAACAAGAGAATAGAAAAGGTAAATTAATGTATTTATATCAAGTGTTTATCATTCATTGATTGCATTAATTAGATTTATCATTGATGAAATGGGTGTTATTTTTGAGGAGTTAGGTGTTTGATGAAATCGAATGATATTGATGTAATTTGGTGTCATTGATGAAAATTATCTGGTGTAATTGTTTGGTGGATTCTAGTGACATGGATGAAATCTTAAAATGAATGATATTTTTGTGGTGTCATTGATAAAATATGGTAACATAGTCAATAGTTATTCATTTAATTTTACATTTAAAGGTGACAATGTGATGGATATTGCGATGTGGTGGGCTGATCCAAGAGTACTAGAAATAGTCAAGGAGAAATTTGATAGCTTACCCAAACCTAAAGAAGGCAAAGGAAAGAAAGGTGGTAAGAAGAGCGCCAAAGGAAAGAGAGATGCTCCAAGAGCATCATCAGTTCCACCATTGCCAAAAACTTCTAATCTGACCCAGATGCCCATGGGGGAGGTATGATTATTTTTTGTTTTCTCTTCATGTATTAAGGTTTAAAATAAGTTGCTGGTAGTTAAATATTTTTGCGTCAAACATATAATTATTAGTCACTGAAATATGAACTTTTTTGAGGTTTCGTCATGCCTGGACAGCTGAAAATTACACATAATAGACTAACTTAGACATATTGTTTTTTTTTGTGATTTTTATTCAAAATAGCTGACTGACGGCCATGGTTGTTTTATGTAACCATTTCTCAGATTTTTTCAGGACATTGGAGGAGTAGGATTTAATCTAGTACAATGACAAGACATAATAGTTTTCATACTTTCATCAATTATTATTTATCAATTATTTTTTGCGTTTGATGAAATTTAATGAATTGGCAGTAATTTTTGTCCAGTATCTCTGCTCAGTCCATTTTATTGCATTTTATATTCATGTCATTTTGTTTTGATAACATTTATTTGACATTCTTTCCATTTTGGGTTCTATGTCAATTCAGCTAAATACAAACATGGACTTTGACTTTCTTTCTTATATTAGTCATCTACACCACCTCCAAGACGTGAACGTAAAAGTTCTGTGTTACGTGCAGCATCGGCAATGGCGGGAGGCGTTGAACACATGGAGGACGTCACTTACACACCAATCAAAGCATGGACACATCAACATTCAACTTCAGAGCTTATCATTAAGAAAGAGCAAAGGCGGAAACGATTTGGTGATGAAGTGGATTTCCCAGATTTTATGATGCCATTTTCAAATAATTTCATGAAGAAGTCCAAAGCCCTTGGTGGTGTGAGTTCTGACGATGAAGATTAGTGTACAAGTATTACTGAATAAATAAATTGGAAACTTTGATTTTATTCAATCATGCAAATAATTTGGGCCGTCTTAAATCAGAAAATTGAATGTGTGCGAATCTAGTGTATATATCACTCATTAGAAATTCATGGTCATTTTTCCACCACTTGAATGTCAACCAAAAATTTATCAATTTCCTTTTATCGTCTCACACTCATACAATATTGTAAATAATTTAGAATTATCAAAGTTTGGCACTTTGTGATTGCATTAAATCTAAGATATTCTATTTCAAAACTACAACTTTTTATCATTTGTATTATGAATGAAATTTTACTCGTGATGAACATTTTTCTTAGAAAGTAATTTACAATACAAGGTTCTTGCTACTGACCTTCATATATAGTTATATAAAGTTATTTTTGTTTGTTCACAAATTGTGATATAAATTAGGATTTGTAAGATACTTGAATCTTGAATTTACAAAGATTTAACAAAAAAAACAGTCTATTTTGTTATGAATGACAAGTTTTCTTTTTGAATTGTCTTTCTAACTAGTGACAATCACACATATTACAAGCAAGTATAGATGTCATCCTTCCACACTTGGTGAAGGCTATAAGGTATCTATCAGCGTATGGATCTGAATATGTATTGTGATCACATGTTGTTGACCACTTAGCTCAGTATCCTTCCACCAATTTGTTTTGATTACAGTCTTGATATTGGCCACCTTTTTTTTGTTTTCCTCTAATCATATGTTAAAACAGGCATGCAATCTCCACTGTGTAAATGTAGAAATAACAATAAATATTGCAATAAAGATTATGCATACTGAATTAAATTTAATTAATTAATTACCTGTATACTCTGGAATCTTTTCTTCTTTAGTCACCATGGAAATGTCAACTGAATACATCATCATAAGGAGATGTAATATTTGAAGTCCACAATAAATAAATAAATTATATTAATATTTAGGCCAGACTTTTGAATCGGAACCGAAAATGAAATAAAAATAAAATTTTATTTCAGCGTAATTTCTCGCGCCTGCCGACTTGTAAGTGCAAAAAATTGCTAAAAAAATATTATTTTCATCTTCATTATTTTACCGCCCGCCGCATAACAAATCCAAGCTGCATTTTCGTGGGAGTACCCGGTGTCATGATCAAAGTATCGAAGTCTAGCACAGATGAGAAACAAGGTTATACATGGAAAATAATTTTATTTCATTTCTTCTCTCCGATCAATGATCTCACTTAAAATTTTTTGAGAATCACACAAATCTAATGAAAAAAAAAGAATTAATTTTATTTTTTTTCCCGCCCTCCTCAAAAAAATCGCCTTATAAAAACCCGAGAAACAAGGAATAAAAAAAGTCTGGCCTTATTTCCAAAATATGTAATCCAAAATACAGATTTGTTCATTACATGATCTCTGGTCTAAAATGTGACATTTATATAGTTTGGGTGATTAATTTGAGTATTCTATTTAAATGTTGTCAAATAAAATGTTCTAAACATTTATTACAAAGCTATATGTTATAATAGGTCAATATCAAATGTTTGTATCCCATTTATTACATGGACATGGTATAGTACATTATTCACATACCATAACTCATACACTGATATAAATCACAAAGCTATGTCTATGGTTTAAACAAATTATAATGATCTAACATAAGGTAATGCTATGTGTGCTGTATGAGATGAACTACTTTGGTCATGTGACTTTTATTATAAAAAGTGTCACATGGGAATTTTAAGTTGTTCAATTGGGAGGGCAGAGGTTAAACATATTTTTGTATTCATTCATGCATCAAATCACAATAATTTGTCCAAATGTAGTCCAATTGAACAAGGACAACAGACTTACTTTGACTATGTGAGACTTTTCAATGAAACTTGATACATAGATGCTCTAGAACAATCGAAAGACCTGATTAATTTTAAGTAAAAATGTATTAATATTGATCAACTAATTTGCATAATTATTTAATTTTTGGCTTTTACACTGATATCGCAAGTACTAATTATCCCATTTCAATGAATCTCGGTGCATATAAATGTTCTAGGACAATGCACAGACCCGCTCAGTTTTGGGTTAAAATCAGATCATATTAATTACCTAATTTGCATAATAAATCATAATTTTTGGTTCTAATATTGTTACGAACGGGAATACGAGATAGTCTCCCGCGAACCTGGCCGCCAATATCTCGCACTCCAGAATGCAACACTAAAGGTCAAACAAAGGCACACAGTTAGGATATGTCCAATAATACTAATTTAATAATACAATAAGCATAAACCAATAACAGGAGTGATATAAATCACAAACCCGTCAACAATATACATCACAATAATGATAACATTAATGATAATAGCCCAGCTCGGAATTGCCTACCCTACCTAAGTGCAGAACTCATACTGCGTAGCTTCAGCGATAGTACAGTTAATCACAGCAACGTCAACGGCGATATCAGTTATACAGCTCCAAACTACGAGGTCTCGGGGAATGCAAATTACACGACACTGACCGTAATGTTACACGACTTCCATACCGTCTGTGCAGAGAAAAGACCAAGCTCAGCAAACCACGCTTTCTGGCGCAGCACAGGTCTTTGGATAAAGTTGGTTTTACAGCGCAGAACCACAGCAGGCTGTTTTGCATCTATCAGTCCCACATGCCGAATTGGTCAGGCATTATCTTGAGACATACGTTGGCTGCCACGTTGACACTGCACTGGAGCTGAGCTGAACTGCACTGGTCGGGAGCTGGGTGACAACTGACTGAACTCGTGTTCACGTTCGTCTTGCACAAGCACGAACAAAAGAATATTAATTAGCAATGACAATACATGCTGTCTATTCTAATTCCGCAGCTGGGCAAGCCTCACTAGCTAATTGGGCATTATCAAAATACATTTATTTTACAGCAAAAATAGAATATCATAACAATATGTACTCTAACACAATGTGATGATCAAATTAGTTTTAGGTTTATATACATCTATAATATTTACCTAATTTGCATAATAATTTACTTTTCAGCTTTACACTAATTTTAGGATTAATCATCACATTATAATGAAACTTTGTACATGTGCACCCTGAAACAATTTACAGACCCAAATCTATGCATAATAATTGCTTAATTTGTACAAGAGTTGGCAGAGCCATCTTGGTGCTGGGAAAATAAGAATATTTAAAGGTGTGTTTTGGAGCAATGGATTGGCAAACAGGCAGAAAAGCAATTTCAAAAACTTTTACTTTTTTTTAATGAAAACTTGAAGTATACATGAGGGTACGTATTATTATTTATTTATTTTGGAAACTTAATTTTTAACTGAAGGAATTAAACTAAATTAAATAATTATGTTAGAAATGACTGCTGTTCAACTCCGGACGTTTAATTCACAGTCAGCTGGCATCGGTGTCACTGGGTGTATATGATGGAGGGAAGTTGTGCAACCAAATTTGCAGAGTTCGCAGTTTCGCAAGGCAAAAACTCACGGTGCTTCAGCATTTTTGTAATAAAGAAATTATTCTCTATCAATAATCCGCCCAAAACAGGAACATTTCTACTAATTCTTGTGTTTTTTCGACGTTTTTTGAAAAACCTGCGATTGGGCTGCGAAAGTAGAACATTCTATCATATACACCCAGCCAGGGGTGTCGATCCATTCTGAAAAGTGAGGGGGACACTTTTGTGTCCGCGTAAACGGCCAATGTCCACGCTTGCGCGAACAGGGGGGTGTCTGAGAAGGGGGGACTGCCCTATGTTTCGACATCTCTATGTTCCGACACCACTATGTTCCGACACCCCTATGTTCCGACACACAGTATACTTGTGTCAAACTTAATCTGACTAGCCGTGCGTGACCTTTTACTACCTTGATATAACCAGCATGTCCTGTGGGTTAATACTGGAAATCCAACTGTAGTGTAGTCCGGCCATGATGCTCGAAAGTCCGTGAAGGCGGGATCTTGCATAATGTTATCGGATAATTATCAGAGAATTATCAAACAAT